GTTGCCTTATCATAGTATCCCCACACTCATTGCATTTCTTTCTTTCTTTTTTTTAAGATTTATTTATTTATACAAAAACCAGGCCAGATGTGCAGGAGGGTGAGAGGATTCACCAGAGACAGAGCCGGGAACAGAACAGGCAGACTGATGAAATACACTGCTGAGGGGAGCAGCGGGCATAACAGGAGAGGACTGCTGCGCCATGTGGGACCTTGACGGCTGGCCAGGATTGAACCCATGCTGCAGAGGCTGTGGACAGCTTCACAGTGAGGCGCTAAACCAACTTCTCCACCAGAGAGGCCCACTCATTGGATTTCCACGCAGTCTCTCCCAATAGAGCATCTCGATGTGTAAAGAATATTGCTTCTTGCATAATCATCAAAACTGCATGATATTGGAACAAGAACAGACACACAGACTGATGGAATCGAATACAAAATCCAGAAATAAACCCACAGATTTATGGTCAACTAATCTTTGACAAAGGAGCAAAGAATATGCAATTGGAGCAAAGAAAGTTTGTTCAATAAATGGTGCTGGAAAACTGGGTCGCTACATGCAAAAGAATGAAGCTTGACTACTACCTCACACCATGGACAAAAACCAACTCAAAATGGATTAAAGAACTAGACATAAGACTTGAAACCATAAAATACATAGAAGGAAATATAGGCGAAACACTACATGATATGCACATCAAAGACATCTTTGCAGACACATCACCTAAAGCAGTGATAATGAAGGCAAAGATAAACAGCTGGGACTACATCAAATTAAAGAGCTTCTGCACAGCAAAAGAGACAATAACAAAAACAAAGAGAAACCCCACCTACTAGGAGAACATTTTTGCACACAACACTACTTTCATTAAGTAATATTTACTGTATTCCTCCCTTTAGTTTACCTGGAGTAACACAATCTTGAGGATCTTTCAAATACTCCAGTTAAGTGCCTTTTATTTATTTTTTAATTTTTTAAATTTTTTTTAAAGATTTATTTATTTATACAAGCACTGGGTACAGTCAGAAGCACGGGAGGGTGAGAGAATTCACCAGAGCCAGAGTGGGGAACAGAATAGGCAGAAGAACCAAGGTACACTGCTGTGGGGAGCAGCGGGGGGCAGGAGAGGTCTGTGTGCCATGTGGGACCCTTGCCAGCAGCCAGGGATCAAACCAGCACTGCAGAGGCTGAGGGCAGCTTCGCAGTCCAGTGCTCAACCACTGCGCCACCAGGGAAGGCCCAGTTAGGTTCCTTTTAATGGCCTTCATATACACATTGTCCTAGATTTGATATATATTTAATCCAACATGTGAATATATTGAGACAGTACTGAGGAATGACAGAATGGTTGGAGAAAAAAAGTAGGGGTGTGTTTATATTACGTACATTTGAGAGCAGGGTGTGTGTGTGTGTGTGTGTTTGTGTGTGTGTAGGAAAGCATTTTATCATGTCGCTGGCTTGGGCAGCAATTGCTTTCTTTTCAAAGAGGCAATTACTTCTAAAATTGGGCTGTTTGTAGGAGGTGCCTGGCAGGATGGAAGCACACTCTATTTCATTCGGGAAAGTCAGGATAGTGCCAGCAGTTCACACTGACATCTTTTCATAAATAAATAGAATGTGGGCCTCCTTGGTGGTGCAGATGGTTGAGAGCCACTGTGAAGCGGTCAGCAGCCTCTGCAACCCGGTTAGATCCCAGCCAGCCAGCGAGAATCCCACATGGGGCAGCAGACCTCTCCTGTCTCACCCGCTGCTCCCCTCAGCAGTGTATTTCATCAGTCTGCCTGTTCTGTTCTCGCTCTGTCTCTGGTGAATATTCTCACCCTCCCGTGCATCTGGCCTGTACACCGGTTCTTGTATAAAAATAAATAAATCTTATTTAAAGAAAAAATAAATAGAATGAGGGGACTTTTTGGATAAGTCCTGGTGGCCTTCAGCAGATTCTGGGCAAAACAGCAGTGCAAGGATAGAATGGGGTCTGAGGATACAGTCCCCTGGGTCTTCTGGCGCCCAGGAAGGCAAAATCAAAACACCAGAAATGCCTTAGTTGGAGTTTGATCTTGATGGCTGACTAGGTAGGGAGTCTTCCATGTTCCATCCTTCTGAGGATGCAGCTCCGGAACTACAAAGAAGGGGAGTTGTGAGCCAATGCCAGAACCCAGTTATATGAGTACACAACATGGTCCCCTTCTTAAAAAAAAAAAAAATTAATTCTGCATACAAGAACTGGGGGTGTAGGCCAGCGTTGTGGGTGAAGGTGTAGGGGTGAAAGTGTTATAGAGCAACCCCGATATTAAACGGGTTCCTGGCTGTGGGTCCTCACCCGCGCGCTTTAAAGGGACTTATGAATACTCTACTACAGACACACGCAAAAGGGTTAATAAAAGATTTATTTACAAGAAAAAAAGAAATAAGAAAATGTTGTGCCCACGTCGACCAGTGCAGCTCCCAAGGACACAGACAACCGATGCAAGGGCACAAAGGAGTTTAATACGGGCTCGAGACCGGGCCCTCGACACGCACCGATGCAACGGCAGAGGTCGAGAGCCCCGAACAGAGGAAGCTGGGACATCTTATAGGGTCGCGAGTGGCGGGAACTTTGAAAGAAGTTGGCAATTATTCATTGGCTACTACAAAGGCACTTTGGGCGCGCGCGGTTACAGTTTCAAACTGATTGGACGGTTAGAGATGCTGTCCCATTTATGGACAGGACTGCCCTCATTGGTGGCTGGGGTGGTCTGCTTTTTCGTCACCAAGTGGAGTGAGGGTTGTGACTGCTGAAACTATCTCCGGAATGCGGCTGGACAAGGACTAACATATCAAGGTGGAGGATATACAAAATGGCGAAACCTCAGCTAAGCTTGGTTCCACATTTCCCCATTTTTTTTTTTTTTTTTTGAAAAAAACGGCTAGTCAGTTAAGAAAATAACACAGCTACCAAGCCTTTTATCAGTTAGTCAGTCTCAGAATTATGGTTACGTTTAGTCACATTATGTGTCATTTTGTTGTTCATTCACAGGGTTATAGGTCCAGCAAAAGTTCTCAGCCACAAATGAGAATTACTCTGCTTAAACAAGAGATGTTTCTTTAGTTGTTTTTATCCCTGAAGCCTTCCTAAACTCCTTAGAGGTCCTCTTTTGTACTGTTCCTGAAACTTGCTTAATCACCCTAACTCGCCCTATGTCTCATTCCTCCCTTTTTGGGAATGGAGCCCCTAACTGCAGTCAGGGAAAAGGGGCGTCGTTCTGATCAGTAACTGCTTCCTGCTGAAAGTGGGCGATGAGGGGAAACAGTCAGGGCTCCACTCCTATGTATTGGGAGGGGTCCTGTTTTAGGGGTTGTTGGGGAGAGTTATATTGGCGTAAGGGGGCATATTGGGAGCACAGCACCATTAACTGGACCGTGTTTACCCGTTGTTTAATAAAGGCCACGAGTCGATTAATGACACAGGGCCCGATAGACAGAATTAAGAAGAGGGTAACGACTGGGCCCAGAAGAGGCAAGAGATAGGGCAGCCATCCTCCTAAGCCTTCCCAAAGAAATGCATTGTTGTCTTCTAGCTTTTTTCTCCGGTGTTCTAGTTCCTCTTGTAATTGCTTAATTTTATTTCTAACTATTCCTGACTTGTTAGCATAGAAGCAACATTCTTCCCGCAGGTAGAGACAGATGCCTCCTTCCTTTGCTGTGAGAAGATCTAGCCCGCGGCGGTTTTGCAGGACCACCGCGGCCAAAGAGTCTAACTGAGACTGTAACTCTAAGGTTGTATCTGCTAGCCGCCCAATGTCCCCCACCAGCTGAGCTGAAATTTTTTGGTAAAGGTTAACAGAGGTCCCAATTCCAGCAACTCCGGTCCCCACTCCGGCTGCCACCCCCAGGCCGAGCAGTAGTGGGGTAATTATGGCCCGCTTATGTCCGGCAGGCACAGACTGGATGAGCTGTATGGGAAGGCTTTGGTTGCCTGGGACCACTCCCACATCGGGCATGAGATATGTTAAAATGCACAAGCCCGACCAGTTAGCAGGGAGTACGGAGTAGGCTGTGGTGCCACAGAAGAAAATAGTGCCCAGTGCCGGCGGGCACATAGAGGCAGAGCCATTAAAACTGGGCGCCTTAGTTGCACTGACTACTGAACTGCAGAGTACCTTATTTACTTGACCCACTCTTAAGGTCCCATTGTGACTAAGGCATGGCATCTGAGCAACTGTTGGGGAGAGCTTGACATTATTGATGGGCAAGGTCTGGTTACACGTATGGGTTGGGCCCTTTAGGTTTGTCCAATTAATCCAGTTGTACACAGCAGGGATCGCTGTGTAACGGGGGGGTCCTTCTCTTAGACATAACCAGCAATCGCTGGCCAGGGTTGGGTTGGTCTTGTTTAAAAATTGTAGGGCTGAGTCTAACATGGCCTGTACTGTCTTTTCCAATTTAAGGGAACCCACCGGGCCTGGGATGTGTATCGGCTTGAACCACCGATCCTGTGTTTGGGCAACTTGTTCAAAAACCCTCTGAACTTCCTGCTTTCGTGCGTGGTCTTGCACACCCCCACCATCTGTCATCCCCCAGTGGGTTTGCAGAGTCCAACAAAAGGGTTTTCCTGCTTTGACAGGGCATACATATCCCGCGTTATTTCCTAAGGATATACCAGTCCAGAAAGTTTGATTGGACTCTGTGCACTGATAAACAGTAGACCTTTCATAGCACTGTGAATGAACAAAGGTATAGGCTGAAAAACTCCCCCCCTCTTTACAGTGATTGCAACTTTCATTTTTAGGCGGCATTTGATTTAAACGCTTCCAACAGACCACCCTTCCCACTGTACCTGGACATCCATGGGTGGTGCCCTTAATCAGGGTCGCCACAAACAGAGGAACTCCCTTAAGGCTGCAAGCACGCTTACTAACATAGCACTTGCTCTGAATATGACCGAATATGCCTTCGGTGATGCACCGTCGGCAGGGATCCCAGTCAGCCCCGACAAGGAGAAAACAAAGGAAGGACAGTAGGTAGCCAACATTACAGTTTGGTGTCATTTTTCACGGCGTGGGCAGTGGTCTGGGAGCGATGGGTTGTAGCCGGGAGCGCCTGAAGAGTCAGCTTGAGTGGATTGGTGGGATGCTTCCGGGCTCGCCACTGCAGCTGGGAGTCGTCAGTTGGTGCCGTCTTGACGTGTGAGTGATGAACCCAGGCCGCGATGCCGTCCACTTTGAGTGCGGTGGGTGTGGTCAGGAGGACGATGTAGGGACCCTTCCACCGGGGCTGGAGGCCACGACCGTCGGTCTTGTGTCGGCGGACAAGGACAAGATCTCCAGGCTGAAATTTGTGGGCTGTCTGAGAAGGTCCTCCCCCTTCATAGAGCGCTCTGAGGCGGGGCCAGACCTCCTGGTGAGCCTGCTGTACAGCCCACACAGAAAGAAAAAGTTCACAATCAGAAGGCAAATCACAAGCTAACTGCGCACCGTGCGGTGTGGTTGGGGGGGCGGTTCCATAGATAATCTCGAACGGAGACAGACCCAGACGATAAGGGGAATTGCGAGCCCGGAAGAGGGCATAGGGAAGGAGAGTCACCCAGTCCCCGCCAGACTCTAAAGTTAATTTAGTTAAAGTTTCTTTTAAAGTTCTGTTCATTCTCTCCACCTGCCCTGAACTCTGGGGCCGATAGGCACAATGGAGCTTCCACTCTGCTCCCAGGGCAGAAGCCACAGATTTCGATACCTGAGAGACAAAGGCTGGTCCATTGTCTGACCCAATGGTCACTGGAAACCCAAATCTAGGAAAAATGTTTTCCAACAGGATTTTGGCTACCACTCGAGCTGACTCACCTCTTGTCGGGAACGCCTCCGGCCATCCGGAAAACGTGTCCACCAGGACCAGCAGGTATCGATAGCCAAATTTACCTGGTCTTACCTCGGTGAAGTCTATTTCCCAATGGACCCCCGGGCGCGTTCCTCGCGGCCTCATTCCTGGTTCACCGGTTGTCTTGGTGGCGTTTACCATGGCACACGACTGGCAGGATGCCACTACTTGTCGCACGGTACAGGTTGCGTCCCGGACATGGAGGTTCCATTGCCTGATTAGAGTTAGAATTTTTTTTCTCCCAAATGCGTGGCTCGGTGCAAGCGCTGAATGAGATCAGTGGCCAAGTGTGCTGGCAAGATGGCCTTAGTTTCTTGGGTGTACCACCAGTGTCCCAAAGAAAAAGCACCCGGTAGAGACTGTATGTAGTCAAAGTCCATAGCACTATACTCTGGGTCTTCCGGCAGCTGCGGGTCCCCTGGGTCTGGGAGTTTTACTGTCAGGGCATCTACCGGCATTAGGGCAGCTTGGCGTGCTGCCTCATCCGCCCGCTTATTACCTTGAGTTGGAGTCGAGGAGTCCTTTTGATGACCTGGATGATGTACTATAGCCAGCTTACGTGGTAGCCACAGCGCTGCCAGGAGATCCATAATTTCTTGAGCGTTTTTAATGCCTTTGCCGTCGGAGGTTAAGAGCCCGCGCTCTCGATATATGGCCCCGTGTACGTGGGCCGTGGCAAATGCATATCTGCTGTCAGTATACACAGTTAAATTTTTCCCTCGAGCCAAGGTGAGAGCTTTGGTTAGGGCAATTAGTTCAGCCTTTTGAGCGGACGTCCCGGATGGCAAAGGCTCAGCCCATATGACTTCCTGCATGGACACCACTGCCGCCCCTGCCGCTCTTCGGCCCTCGTGGATAAAACTGCTCCCATCCGTAAACCAAACCAGTCCGTCCGGCAGAGGGTTATCTCGCAGATCAGGGCGTAACCCTTGGACCTGGGCCAAGATATCAACACAGTCTAGATGGGCCTCCAGGTCAGGGGCAGGTAGGAGGGAGGCGGGGTTTAGCCCCGTGGGTGGCGAAAAATTGACCCTCTCTGGGTTGAGCAATAGGCTCTGGTAATGCGTGATTCGGGCATTACTCATCCACCTCTCTGGCGGCTGCCTGAGGACTCCTTCCACCGCATGGGGGGTGGTTATGGAAGTAACTTGTCCCAGAGACAGTTTTTGGGAGTCCTTGAAAAGGAGGGCAGCCGCTGCCACCATGCGTAAGCACGGTGGCCAGCCGGACGCCACCGGGTCTAACTTTTTAGACAGATAAGCCACAGGACGCCTCCAGGGGCCCAAGGACTGAGTGAGCACCCCTTTAGCTATGCCCTTTGCCTCATCTACGAACAAATGGAAAGGCTTTGTAATGTCCGGAAGACCCAGGGCTGGTGCAGACAGTAAAGCCCTCTTTAAGGACTCAAAAGACTGCTGCATCTGGGGAGTCCACTGAAAAGTTACTTTTTCCCGGGTAGCCTCATACAAGGGTTGGGCCAGGTCTGCGAATCCAGGTATCCATAGCCGGCAAAACCCAGCAGATCCCAGGAACTCACGTACCTCCCTTTTGGTGGTGGGTGTCGGTAACTGTAAGACAGTAGCTTTTCTGGCTTCCGTCAGCCACCTATAACCGTTTTTGAGGCGGTAGCCCAGATAGATTACCTCGGGCAGGCAAATTTGTGCCTTTTTTGCGGAGACGCGGTATCCCATCTGGCCCAGTTCCGTCAGTAATTCGGCTGTTCCTGTTCGGCAGGCCTGCTCACTTTCCGCTGCAAGTAACAGATCATCAACATACTGGAGCAAAGTTAGTTCGGGAAATCGGCTGCGGAATTTTCTTAAATCCTCATGAAGGGCCTCGTCAAAAAGGGTGGGAGAGTTTTTTGAGGCAACCTTGTCCAAGTTAATTGTCCACTGATGCCCCGTTCCGCATCCTGCCATTCAAAGGCAAACATTTCCTGGCTTTGGGGTGCTAGTGGTAGACTAAAGAAGGCATCTTTTAAGTCCAATACTGTGTACCACACATGAGTAGGTGGCAAGGCACTCAGCAAGGTATAAGGGTTTGGGACTGTGGGGTGGATATCTATGACCCGTTTATTTACTTCTCTGAGGTCCTGTACCGGCCTGAAGTCTTGTGAGTGTGGTTTTCGCACCGGTAACAAAGGGGTGTTCCATGACGAATGGCATGTTTTAAGGATACCACTGTCCAATAGCCTCCGAATATGAGGCGTTATTCCTGCCTTGGCTTCTGCAGGCATAGGGTACTGTTTTACCCGAATGGGTTCAGCCCCAGGCTTTAGCTGGACTATAATGGGTGGTCTGTGGGACGCCAGGCCAACGCCCCCGGTTTCTGCCCAAACATTCGAGAAAGATTCCATCCACCACCCAGAAAGGGGTGGGTGATCTGGCGCCACCAAAAGGCGGTACTCATCTTGAAGGGAAATCGTGAGGACGTGTAGGGGAGAGCCCTTAAAGTCCTTGATTTCGACACCTTCCTGTCCAAATGAGATTTGCGCTCCTACCTTGGTTAAAAGGTCTCTTCCAATTAATGGGTACGGGCATTCAGGAATTACAACGAAGGTGTGCGAGACCTGACCTTTTCCCAGGTCTACAGATCTTTTCGTGGTCCAGGGATACTGCTTGCATCCCGTAGCCCCTTGCACCCACGAAGTTTTACCGGAAAGTTTACCCAAGGGTTCCGTGAGGACTGAATGCTGTGCCCCCGTGTCCACAAGGAAATTAACGGGTCTCCCCTCCACTTTTAAGGTTAGCCGGGGCTCGGGGAGGGTCGAGCCCTGACGGTCCTAGTCACTGTCATCTCTTGTGCCCCCGAGCACCAGGACAGGAGTGTCAGAAACGGCGGGGTTGTTTGAGGTTATTCCCCGTTTCTTTGGGCAATGTTTGGCCCAGTGTCCTTTTTGAGTGCAGTATGCACATTGATCACGCTGTAGGGTCCTGCCTGTCCCTGTGGAGCTGGGGCGGCGGGAGGGGTGTAGCTTACCCGGGTCGTCCTTTTGAGTGACGGCGAACAGGATTCTGGCCATATCCCGAGTGTGGCGTGCGTTTTCAGCCGCCCTTACCTTCCGTTCTTCCTGGCGGATGCGGTCTTCTCTTTGCTCAGGAGTTTCACGGCGATTGTACACCTTTTCTGCCACCTCCATAAGATCTCGAATAGATTTTTCTCCCAGCCTATCTATTCTTTGTAGTTTTTGTTTAATGTCAGGAGCCGCCTGGTTAACAAAGGCCATTACCACCGCGGCCCTGTTCTCCGTTGCCTCCGGATCCATAGGAGTATATTGCCGAAAAGCTTCCATGAGGCGTTCTAGAAAAGCCGCGGGGGTCTCCTCCCTTCCCTGCTGCACATCCCCTACCTTGGCCAAATTGGTGGGCTTGCGGGCTGCTGCACGCAACCCTGCCATTAGAGTCTGGCGGTACACCCGGAGTCTCTCCTTACCTTCAGCCTGGTTAAAATCCCAGTCAGGTCGGGTCAAGGGAAACACTAAATCTATGCGGGCCGCGTTTGTGGTGGGTGTGCCATCTTCTCCAGGGACTAATTTCCTGGCGGCCGTCAGTATACGATCTCGCTCCTCAGTGGTGAAGAGGACCTGCAAGAGCTGTTGGCAATCATCCCAGGTGGGCTGATGAGTAAATAGAACAGTGTCTAGGAGATTAACAAGGTCTTTAGGGTTGTCAGAGAAACGTGCATTTTGTGCTCTCCAGTTGTAGAGGTCACTGGTCGCAAACGGCCAGTAGTGCATGGGCTGGTTGCCCTGCTCATTAGGCAATCCTGCCACACGCAGGGGCAGGACGGTGGAATCCGGGGAATTCGCCTTCACTGAGCGGGTGCCTGCCGCCGGACCCTGCCCACGAGCCCCGCCCGCCTCTGGGGGAGGGTGGTCAGCCGACCGCAGGAGTTGGGGAGGGTTACTACAAGGGTTATGATAGGGTGGTGGAAATAGAAGTTCCTCCGGGGTAGAGTCTTGGAAAACCGCAGGTGCCGACGGGGTGTTGGGGTGGGACCCAAGCAGTTTAGCCGGCAGTACGGGTTGTGCCTGTAACGACAAAAATGGCTTTAACCAAGCAGGGGGGTTCTGGACTAGATCTTGCCAGACTAAGATATACGGGAGTTGGTCAGGATGTCCGAATTTTTTTTCACTGGTGATGATTTCCTTTACGCGACGGACAATCTGTAAATCAAAAGTTCCCTCCGGGGGCCAACCAACTCCGAACTTCGGCCACTCTGAGGAACAAAAGGTGATTAGAGGGGATTTTTTTATTTTTACACTGAGGTCCGACCCTCTGGACCTGACATCTTTAAAATGCTGTAAAACAACGGATAGAGGGGTAGATGGTGATTGACCCATGATGACAAATGCTAGAAGTACAGTGGCTGTCGTCACAAGAAACAGGCCAAAGACTGATTTTTCAAAAGGCCCCCAAAAGGGGTATCTGCTTCCCCGCAAAGGGTGTGGCCTTCCTAACATGTGGTCCGGGGACGTCTCCCGCGGTCCACGCCGGCGGCTTTCAAGTGCGTCCACTTAAGCCTGACCCGGCTATTGAACAGATTTTCAGGTTTGCAAACAATTAAAGCTTTTACAGGTACAAAGTACAAAAGATACAGGTACTAAGTACAAAACAGCTTCTACAGGTACAAAGTACAAAAGATACAGGTACTAAGTACAAAACAGCTTCTACAGGTACAAAGTACAAAAGATACAGGTACTAAGTACAACTACAGGTCTGCAGACTTGAAGCTTACCTGGGCGAGTGTTGGAACTCACCTGCGCGCTTTAGAACTCCTTTCGGTTGCTCGGCAGTTGGGGTCTGCACTCGTCGATCCCGGACGAGCCCCCAAAATGTTGTGCCCACGTCGACCAGTGCAGCCCCCAAGGACACAGACAACCGATGCAAGGGCACAAAGGAGTTTAATACGGGCTCGAGACCGGGCCCTCGACACGCACCGATGCAACGGCAGAGGTCGAGAGCCCCGAACAGAGGAAGCTGGGACATCTTATAGGGTCGCGAGTGGCGGGAACTTTGAAAGAAGTTGGCAATTATTCATTGGCTACTACAAAGGCACTTTGGGCGCGCGCGGTTACAGTTTCAAACTGATTGGACGGTTAGAGATGCTGTCCCATTTATGGACAGGACTGCCCTCATTGGCGACTGGGGTGGTCTGCTTTTTCGTCACCAAGTGGAGTGAGGGTTGTGACTGCTGAAACTATCTCCGGAATGCGGCTGGACAAGGACTAACATATCAAGGTGGAGGATATACAAAATGGCGAAACCTCAGCTAAGCTTGGTTCCACAGAAAATGTACAACTCAGGGAGAAAATAGGGAAATAAAGTCTTTAATGCGTCCTACCCGATCCGACGACCTGGAAACCCAAAGTCACTCTCAGAGCTGACCGGACGCTCGGAGCTGGCTGAGAGCCCAAAATGGAGAGAGAGCCCCCAAAGCCCACGTGTCTGCCTTTTGTATCCACCTGGCTGCTTAACCCCACCCTCAGGTCCCAGCCACCTTCCCTTTGGTGGTGATGGGATTTGGAGTTCCCAGTGTCTTTGGCTTTGACCTGGGGTGGGGGTGGAGTCCACAAAGCCTGTATGGAATTTGCTTTGGGACATCCTTTCCCCCTAACAATTGGATTCACCAGAGAGTGCGGAGCAGATGAACTGAAAACCACTGCTGAGGCGAGCAGCAGGGAGAAAGGAGAGGTCTGCTGGGCCATGTGGGTCAGCTCCCTGGCCAGGGATCAAACTTAAGCATCTGAAGCTGCCAATACCTTGAAAACTCTTGAGAGGTTAACCCCTGTACCCCTAGGGAGACCAAGTTCCTTTCCTATTCACCGCAGACCTGAATCAGCTCCGGGGCCCAGTTCCGGCGCCCCGCACTTTTCCAGGCCTGCGCACCTGTCCATTTTCCCTCAACCTCCACTGATCCCACCTCCCGGCTGCAAAATCCACTCCCACTACGCCCACCAGACGTCGCCTGACGGGTGGCGCACAGTATTGTGGGAAGTGTAGTCTCGCGCCCACGCCTTTCCTACCAAGGGCTCTGGGGCGAGGCCTGCAGGCTTTCCGTGGTTGCAGCCCGTGTACCCTCTGCTTTTGCTGGAAGTTTCGGTACTTCTGCTTGGGCTACCTCGCCCACGAGTTTCACCTGGACTTTGTGTCTGAAAGCTGGGTTTGGGGTGAAGCTGAGGATCCCTGTGCGGGTGTGGGGAGAAAGGGGAGCCCCGGCATTGCAGACAGGGTAGAGAGGCGAAGTAGGGTGAGGGGGGAGGGAGCCCCGGGGCCCTGGAACAGGCGCAAGGGAGGGTCAGCCCGGTGGGGGAGGCTCGGGATGAGAGAGGGTGCTGTGGGGACCCCGCCCTGGACACAGGGTGAGTCCCTCCAGGTGACACCCCTTCATATTTTCAGGAATTATAAATTATAATAATTTATTATAAATTATAAATTTTAAGATTTCCTCGCCCACAACATAACCTTTTAGAAGCCCTGCGTGTGGCATAGATCTGTCACTCAGCATTTTCCGTGCAACCTTCCACCCAAGATTACTGACTTAAATAAACACGGCAGCCGTTTTTTTCTTGGACGTCCAGTGGTTCTACATTTGGTGCCTATTTTCCCGTCCAGGTCTTTTGCTGGTGCGTTTCGGTAGACACTGGAGGCTGTGGTTACCCTGTGCCCCCACCTAATCTGGTTGCATAAGAATTTCACTACTGTTTTGGTGGGTATATCGAGGTTGTCGCTCAGCCATGTGCCCCTGACAGGCAACCCCCCCTTCCCAGGAGGACAAGTGTCCCAGAAGGCAGGACCTCAGGAAAAGTGCTTTTCTTCCTATGCTTATGATACAGTTAACAGGTTTGTCTTTTCCCCATTTCTTGCAATTCACTCTTATGTAGCATTAATAGGATTAATAGCTTGTCTTTCCCATTTGTTGCAGCTTCCCCTACCCTTGAGAAGAAAAACAAGCTGGTGTTCACCCTTCTCTGTGCTGACCCCTTCCCCTTCCCTTAAGATGAATGAGCTGACACCCATTCATCTTTGTGAAAACCCTTTCCCCTTACTCCTCTCTGTGCTGACACTTTCCCCCTCCCCTTAAAGAAAACCAGCTGGCACTCATCCATCTCCATATTGAGCTGGCACCCACTTGCTTCCATGTGGACCACTACCCATCTCCCCCTTGTATGAATACCCCTGCCCACTGCCAAAGAGCGGGACGGTGGTCTTTCAGACATGAGTCTGCTGCCCTCCTCATTTGTCGATAAATTCAACCACTTTCTGTTTTCCTCAAACTCTGTTTCCTTTTATTGGCTGAGGGAAACTGATGCTGGCGTTGGGTAACACTTATGCTCACTGATTCCCTTTAGGCAAACATCCCAGAACAAATCCCAGTCTTTTTTTTTTTAATGGCTTATTTTATTTATGCAAGAGCCAGGGTACAAGCCAGATGCGCGGAAGGGTGAGAGGATTCACCAGAGACAGAGCGGGGAACAGATCAGGCTGACTAAGGAAATACACTGCTGAAGGGAGAAGCGGGCGCGACAGGAGAGGTCCGCAGTGCCTTGTGGGACCCTCGCTGGCTGGCCGGGATGGAACTGATGCTCCAGAGGCTGTGGACAGCTTCACAGCACAGCGCTGAACCCCCTGCGCCACCAGGGAGGCCCACAAATCCCAGTCATTGCCAAAGTGTGGTGTCCAAGGAAATGCATGGAAGGAAGCAGGGCTCACGGAACCATTTCTGGGAATGTCCTAGCAAAAAAGTACATTACATGAATCTTTTCCTATGAAATTGTGGTCAATGATTTTGTATATGATCTTTGAAGTTTCTGAACTTTGAATTTCTTGGATAATCGGTTGTATTGTAACAGGATGGCCCCCGGGAAAGGGGAAGTTTCCAGGTTTCCTGCCCCACCCAAAGGAAGGTGTAGCTGAGCAAGGAGAGAAGAAGCTGCAGAGGAGACTGAGGAAGGAAGGAAGCAGGCTGGAGAGCCAGAAGGAGACCTGGAGGAGGCACATGGAGCCGAGAGACACGTGAAGAACCTACACTTGCCTTTTGGTCGTGGACTGGGTGAAATAGATGTGGGTGAGAGACCCGTGGGGAGGTGACAATTGCAGTTTTTGTCTTGATTTTGATTTTGCTGTTTTCCTTTCAGACTTTCTGGTTGTTTCTGATCCTTTTCTGTGGGTCCTCACTGGAAGATGCTTTAGACCTATGACAGGCTTTGGGGCCTTGGTCTGGGCCAATGCTGTTTTGGTGGACTTTTACCCAGAGGGGACAGGAAACTTTGGGAGCTTGATCTAGAAACTATGTTCTTTGTCTTTTCTGTATTGTTTCCTTATTGTATTAAAGTTCCTTCCCATTAAAGTCTCATAGGTTTTGTGTTGATGTGGCAGATGGCAGAACCTAGTTAGAGTAGGCAGGTTTGCGGGATCTGGGCTGCCCCTCTCCCTGTCCTGTAACAGTATTTTGACACAGGCAGGCAGGTAGGACAGATGGGGAGGGAGGAGGATAGGAGGGAGAATGGAATTATATACAATGGTGAAGTGTGACCACAGCTATCACACGCATTGACTCTCTGGTCTCTCCCAGGCAGTATGTGTTGGGCTCTGGACAGGAGACTCCAGGATCCAGGTGCGAGCTGCCTCAGTCCTCTCCTGCTGGACTCCATTCACCTTTCCCAGGGCCACCTCCAGAGTCCTCAAGCATGTGTGAGAGCAGCAGACAATGAATAAATCTATGGTGAGTTACTTATTTTTATTTCTCTTGTGGTTCATTGACTTTATTCACCTTGTGATCGTTGATAAACTGAAATGTAAATTAGAAAGTAAAGGTGTCGTGTAGATACAGGCAAATCACATGTCCAACATGAGTGGATATTGGGCTCTGCTCTGATGCTCATGCAGAATAGAGTCTGAAACTATGTCTCGTTGATGTAGCTGATGATGTAGACGGTGGCTTTTCATCCCACTGGAAATAATCACTTCCTGCATTCTGCACTGTTCAGGTGTGACATGAGTGAAGGGAGAGGAATCATGGTGCCTGAGGACCTGAGTGCAGAATGGGGGTTAATGAGCCATGTGTTATTTTTAAAGGACAACTTAATTTTTAAGATTTCTGTACAGTTGCAAAAAAAAATACAATGTGTCCCAGACAACTATTGGATGCTCTTGCATGCAGGGATCAATCTTGGCATTTGTGACATTAAGTTCAATGCGGGGTCCTTACATACCTCCCCCTGCATTTCTCTCAGGTGGTCTGTAAATCCAAGGTGCCCAGTAGACTGTTCAGAGTTCTATTTTCTGGCCATTGTTCCCTCTGTTCCTGTGCATTTCATCTGGTGTAATCTGAATGCATTTCTAGTGAAGCTCACCAACTCCCTAAGTTGTTCTCAAGTCCAGTTACACTTCTTTAGCTTTTGCCTTCCCCAAATTTCCTGCCGTATTTGGCAATACTGTGTGTGACCTTTTTGTGTTTGTATTTTTGTATTTATATATTTTTTAATTGTTTAAAGGCTCCTTGTATTTCTTTGCTTATTTACTTGTTTTACTTGTTTTTGGCCTCAATCTCTTTGGACATCTGTGGCACTAAAAGCCTTCTTCTGAAATAGTCCTTAGTATTTTCCTATGTTCTTAATGGGTTTTGCCCTACCCTTTTTTTTCTCCCTGTACCAAACCACCCTGGCCCATGCCCACTCTGTCTCTGGTGAATCCTCTCACCCCGCGTACCTCTGGCCCGTACCCCAGTTCTTGTACGCATGAAACAAACAAATCTTTTTTAAAAAAGGAAAATGTAACAAATACATTTATTAAATAAATAAAGCCACAGAGATTGTTTAATCACGATGAGAGAGAAAAAGTGGAGAATGTTATTAGAACTGTGCTCCAAAGGCATCATTAGGGAGATGAAGTCTTTGTAGCACTCAGGTGAGATGCATGGTTTGCACGGACATGTCATATATGTAGTTCTCTGTGCAGTCTGGGCTAGAGGTTGTGTGTGGCTACTGGAGATGTCATTTACCGGTTGACTGACTCAAAACTGATAGAGGGGGCTGACTGGAGAGTTATTTAGAACATGAG